GATTAATAAACTATCTTTAGCCTCATGCATCAGTAGAGCTGCGAAAAATAACGATTTTCTTTTCTTATTCACGTTATATAAAGTGTGTGCGCACGTTTCAATCACGTTTCCTTTGTTCTTTTTCCTTTATACTAGTCGAAGAGTACATCACAGCATATAGATGTGGAACAGATATATATCTTCTTGTATCGACTCGTCGACTGGTATGAAGGAAAAAGAGCGAAGGAAACTTCACGCATACAACAGTCTTAATATATATGTTATATATGTCGCAGGCATAAATGAAATGTAGGAGAATTTAAAATATTCCTAGGAATAAATAAAATTTTAATATGAACTGGTTCAAATTAAAATTTCACAGTTTTTTCACTTATTTTAATATGAACTAGTTCAACTTAAAATTGATTTATCCCTATAGGAATATTTAAAATATTCAGCAAACAAATTCTTTCACATATTTTAATTATTCCTGCAGGAATAAATAAAATTTCTGCAACAATCAGACTTGTACCAACGTACTCCTCACATGCTTGGATGAACGTTATTGTTGGTAATAGAGTTGAATCAGTTGACTGTAAGTCGAAAAAAGAAAACTAAGAACGATAGAGAGTGAACCACAGATTTTTTTCCTGAAATAGAAGAAGAGAGCGGAAAAGAGGTATTCCACTGCTGATCATCGTGGCAATGTTAGTTTTCAGAACAAAATGTAAGAACTGAGTGAAAACATATACTGGGTCAAAAAACCATTTTTGATTATTTTCATCAAAAAATTAAAAAGTTCAAAACTCACGAGAAGACTGGATCTTAACCATTTCATATGTTTTTCCAGTGAAATAATACGTGTCATTGTCGTTGTATTAACTGATGATTTACCACCCCAATACAGACAGTTAACCATAAAAATTGTGCTATTCACGTTAACTGTCTGTTCGCGACCCGTTGTTATAAAACCTTGGAGAATCTAATTGTGGATAAGGGAAATGGAACTATTCTTGGTCCAACCATCGTCTATGGGTGACCCAATGTCATGGACATTCATTAAACAATCATGCAATTTTTTTGGTTCTGGAACAATTAGATTCTGATTTAATGGTGCTTCATGATAGTATGTACCATTTGGTAGTATAGTACTGTCTAATAAATATGCCCCCATTAATTGTGTTACATTAATTGTAGCATTCCTTAAATTAGCTCTTGTGAAATCGACATCCAGAAATGTCGTAAGATTTTTTAAGAAACTGCTCTAATGTGAACAAAATAAAATTCTTTTTCTTCTGTCGCGATAACGATTATCCTTCTGACAAAAAGAAAAAGACGAAACGTCCCCCTTTTTTATGTTTCACTTCAAAATAAGTAAAATAAATACACAATAGACGCTCTCTCTTAATGAAAACGAAAAAAATACTCATAGAAATAAACGCAAATCTTCTTTATCATCAGAAAAATATCACTGTTTATTTCTCTTACGAGCACTGTCTAGTTTAGCTTCTGTTTCCACGCTACCACAATTTAAAGTATGCGTATTTATTGAATAAAAGTTTTGACTTAACTATTGTTTAATGATAATTAATTTCAATATCATTAATTATTATGTTTGAACCCTTTGGCGCCGGGGCACGCATATATGCGTGTTGAAGCTTTGCACATATTATCGTGATTATAATATTATTTAGGCTTCAACGAAAAGATTCCTCTCTTTTTTTCTTATCTTGGTAACACTGTTGCATAGTGTTTATTTGCTGGATATATCAACATTGAACGCATATATGCTATTCAAAGTCAAGCATAAAAATACTATTCTGTTTGGCGATTTTCGTAAATGAATTAATTCTACAACTGATTGAAAGACATGCTCAGCTCAAAAATCCAACTGGCCGTTCGACTATTGGAGATAATCCCATATCTTACTCCAGATGGAGATAATCCACATCTTACTGCACGTCATTTTCCATCTTTAGTTTCCACCAAGAGCAACAGGAAAAATTGCACGAACATCTTGTATAGTTTGTACTCATACAAGCAGACGAGAGAAAAAACGTACCGATACATGTTATCAGTGTGATGTTTGTGACGTTGGACTTTGTGTGATAGGTTGTTTTCAAGATTATCATACTCTGAAATATTTCTAAATGCTTCTATATAACAATAAAATTTGTTCCAGATATTTTTTGAAAGCAAAAAAATATCTTATTTTTTTCAAAAAAAAGACCCGGCGCCAAAGGGTTAATTGATGTTTCTCGCTGTTTTAGTAATTAGTGGTGAATATCATTGAATCCTATTCTAGCCATGTTCATACTGAGAAAATCATCTTTTAATCTAACAGACTGCTTTCATTAAAACATTACAATATTTATCTAGTGCTCGTATAATCTGATCTGTTTCTTGTTCATCTTGTGATAGAGTTAATAAGATATTTTATAGCATTATTCATCATTTTAATTATTGTTGAGAACGTTGATTGTACGTCGGTTCTATTTAATTAATTATCCTGATTTCATTACAATTAATTACATCACACACTTGATATAATGAGTGATAAGTCTTGCTGATAATTGAAACATTGTTTTACTGGAAAATTTTTGCTAAGAATTACCTCTTATATGATATGTCTGACGCACAGAGATACCGCTTTCCATAGTATCCTTAATGCTGACAATATTACTGTTATTTCAATTACAAGATGGACACAGTTATGCATTTGAAGATGAACTTTAGCAAATTAGCTGCTAATGGAACTGAATAAAGAATCATTATTAGAATTAGAATAAGGATTACTTCTGTCAGTGCCCATACATAGACCGGGAATAAAACCTTACTAAAACCGTTGACATAAACGTTTTTATCAGATCTATATTCTTATTTTATTATAAAATTAAAAAAAGTAGGTAAACGAAAATTTAGCACTGTAAAATTCAATGGACAGAAAAAAATTAAAAAACTCTGTGAACACAAAACACAAACAACAAGAATAACTTGTAATTAAGAAGAAGCAGTAGAAGATGATTGTCGTCGTAGAAATAAATATATTTCATGAAACGATGGTCATTTGATTTGCGTTTTGGATATGCATACATAAGATCAGTAACTCCTTTAAACTCAATAAAGCATATCTGTAAAAATCTAGTTGTTGATTAGATAAATTATTAGAATATCTAATAACATCATCGTTCGACACTTGATTGTATGCTAATGAATGACACATAATGCGAATTTCATGAAAAGTTAGACCGGTATGCATTGAAAGCGTCAAAGAAAAAATGTTGTCAAAGAAAAATGTCAAAGAAAAAAATGTCGAAAAAGAAATATGAAAAAATAAATAACAAAAAAAAACGTCGACGGAAAAAATATCGAAGGAAAAAAATGTCGGAAGAATGGATAATGATGGGAAAAACAGATGTATTGATAAACAATTAAAATTAACTATAAAATAGTAACACAGTAAACCATCCCGAGTCAGTTGTCGATAACTGTCAACCGACGTTGCAATATTTGAGTGTCGGATATTTGAGCGACTGACTCAACAGAATCCGGACTCTTCCGCGAATTTTTCGTAGTACGTATTTGAGTGTTTTCTGGCAGTGTGTCGTGGGAGATGAGGGTTTGGGCAGTGTGAGACTGAATTCGAAAAGTAGTTTCACACAAAACATATTTTCATCATCAGGAACTATACATCTGTATAACCCTAAAACTAGAACTAGAACAAGAGCCCTCAAATTGGAACTAGAATTCTTGAGGATATAGTTCTACTTCTAGTTTGAGCGTATGTTCAGCGCGTGAAAAACAAATTCTAGTTTGGGGCTGTCAGCAATTCTAGCTGAGCTAGAGTCACTCAGCGTTCGGGATCGACTAAATTCCGACATTCTACAAAAGATGTTTTATTCACTCAGGTCTGGTGGTTTTCACGAAGTTTGTTGGTAAAAAACTTGAAATACAGTCGAAAACCGTCAAAAATCCTGTAAAAATCACGAGCGCTAAGTAAAAAAACATTTTATGTAGATTTTTCGATGTGCTCTTTCATATGGCAGCATTATAAAAACTCTTTGGCACAAAAGTTTGTTTGTAGTGAAAAGCCGGTTTTTCAGAAACCGATTCTGCCAAAAGCGAAGCACCCGTTTTATTGTCGTATTCGGACTCGGCACACTCGATTACCTATTGTCTACTGAGTTTTGTCCGAAAAGCGATTAATCAGTTGATGTCTTTTTCTCGTTAGTAAGGAGAGATGAACCGATGTTCTGAAGGCGAATATGATAATGAGACGGACTGTTGTATCCAGAGAAAAAATTATTTTTGTTTAGCTGCGTCTACCTTCGTAATATTAATACATCTCATATCTTGCATTCATTGCCGCAAAGTCAAGGAAAATTGTGAGATACGGAGTGCTTCAATCGATTTTGATCAAATTCCTCATGTACTACGTGTACTGCCAATGTCAACTTTTACAATAAGATTAGAGTGCGCAGTTTTTTTGTATTTCGATGAGGAGATGTGTGGGAGGTTATTTTTTACGTCGTCTTAGTAGAGCTTTTTAGACACAAAACTTAGTCATTATACACGAAACCTGGAGAACCTGAAAAATCCAATGATGGATGAAAAATATCTGCTTCACCGATCTGTATGAATAAACAAACTTTGCAGAAGTAAAACTTTTCTTCGCTAAAAATCTCCGGCCTCTATACCCCTACTGGAAGAGGGAATCTTAATATTCGAGCTCTAGCCGACAACGCGCTCTTTGGAATGGTGAATGGTTTAAAGATAGTATGTAGTTCGCAGTCATTTTTCTGGTCTTCGGAGCCGACCGGCACCAGAGATGACGTTGTAACCTTTTGAATACAAACCCATTGGACTACGGAGTATTTTTTTTACAAAACACCGCTCTGGTTAGGGAAAAGTATGGTTTTCCTAAAACACGGACTACGATCTGGCTGCTGTTACTATTTATATTTCCCAAAAACGTTACAGTTACTGAATGAGTACTAAAGAAAATCTTGCTTTTAAACTAATTAAAAACGTGTCATATATAACCGTCGTGTCTGAGGAAGAACGGGTAGATCCACTAACCCACCAATTACATTCGGCTGAGCGCCAGTTGCATCGAGATGAATTGTCGACGTGTCGTATGGCGGATTACCATCACCGAAAAGACGATAAACACTTGTATCGCCGAACTGTCGTCTGGTAAGACTAGCAACACGGACGAAGCCCGGAGATGATGGAAGCGTGACGTCGAAGGGTAGAATTACAAAAATACCATCGTCAGTCATTGTACTTTCATCAGCGGCTGTTTCAAGCTGGATTCCATGGTCTAAAATCAAAAGACGTTTTTCTGTATGGCAGCTAAGCCAATCATTTACAAAAGTTAATAAACCCGACATTCTATAGCACAATCGCTGAAGAATTGATCGGTTCTGTAGATGCATTTTCGTGAACTTACCTGATTTTGACACTTCATTTGCTTCCTTCTTCTCCTTATTTTCCTCATTTCCTTCTCTTTCGTTTAACACTTTTGCTTCATATTTCCGTCTGTATAGAAAATAGAGTATAGGCGATGTACATATCGTCTGTATTGTTGCCATTAGAACGAAGATTGCAAAGATTTTTGGACTTAGAACTTTGAGTTGTACACCAACGTTAAGGACGACGAGTTGTACAATACCACGTGTATTCATTAGTATGCCCATCGAAGAACAGTAGTACCATGACTGACGTGTCACTAACTTTGTCGTTAGTGTAACGGGTATAATCTTTGCTAAGGATGCAATTAAAATGAGAACAACAAGAATCCACCATGACTTTCCATCGTTTAGCAGATTTAGATGAGTTTGAAGACCACTGTTTGCAAAATAAAGACTGAAAAAAACTTTTTTCTAAACACTTAGTTAATTATCAATTTTTTTGTGCATACTTACGGTAGAAAAACTTCTACTACGAGTAATTCCACTCTCAATGCTAAGAAATCAGTTAATTCACCTTTTCTCGGTATACAAAGTCCAGCTATGAATGAGCCAAAGAATGCATGTATACCCATTACTTCTGTTGTAAATGCACAAACGATCAGCAGAAGAAAACAAAGTACCACCAAGTAAACATTTGTCTCATCTTTCTTCTTCTCCATAAAGTACTTATGGATCAATCTGAGTATCGGTCGTACAATAAGGAACATGATTAAGATAAATGCCACAGTTAAGAGTAGAGTATAGAGTCCTAGCAGTGCACTACCACCAGATGAGAAGGCAGATGCAATTGCCAGAATAATCCAGACGGCAATGTCTTCGCAAGCAGCGAGACTAATGGCTTGAATACCAATCGGAGCTTGTAGAAGGTCCATTGTATTGAGAAGTGAGGCTAGAACAGGAAACGCTGCGAAGCCGATACCACAGCCTTCAAAGGCAAAAGAACTATTATTCCAATACAGCGAAGTTCAAAGGCAGAACACATACCAATAAAAAGTATAAAGGCTGCTTTCGGTGGCGATGGCATATCTGTTCCGTTGATCGTATAGAGCCACAGTGCTACTGCACATCCTACGCCGACGGGAATTATTATTGAAGTCAATGCCAATGGTACAGTTACTCGCCATGATTTCTTTAACTGTTGTAAATCCAGTTCCAAGCCGAGGAAGAACATGAAAAATATCAGACCTAAATTGGCTACAAGTTGAAAGACGGGCAAACTCGACGCAGGCCAGATTGCCTGTGACCAATTCGGTGCGAAACCTAGAGTAGATGAAAGAGGGAGACAAAACTAATATAACACACTGAGTCTTGCAGTAGAAAAGAGACTCACCAAGTACACTCGGTCCAAACATAATGCCGGCAATAATCTGTCCGATAACCTGTGGTTGGCGTACCAGAGCGAGTAATTTTGCGAATATTTTGCATACGACTAGCGTTATAAAAACTTGCATTAGAAATATAGTCAGTGGATTTGCATCTGGATCTTCGAATAATGCAGCCATTTTTTGCCGTTTTTTTGTGGATCTAGTGTTTAACGTATTGATATAAAGTATACATAGAGGAGCGAAAGTTTAAAGACAAGGAAAATTTTGCAATTCTCGGAAGTGGATCTATACAACAGTACGAAAGACCGTGCGCAACTCTCTCCAAAACACCCTAAATCCGAAGGTCTTTTAGTAAAACACTTCGTAGGAATTTTACCATTAGACCTCTAGGTCTACGCTACCAAACTTTTTTCCTAGTTAATTTCCGAGGTTTCTTAATCATCCCATCCCTTTGGTTTATGAGTCGGAACGAAGTCTTGCATCTCACTCAGTATGCTGTTTTGTCCTCGATTATCCACACCCTACCATCATACTCATCGGCAATATCAACTGCGATCATCAGTATATAACGGCCTTCTTTGACTGATGAGAGTAAATGAAATAAGATATTGTCTACTCTCACTAAACAGCATCCCTTTCCACTTTTTTTGTCATAGAACCGTTCCAGTTGGATCTAACGGGATAGGTTTATAGAGAACAACGTTTACTACAAAATGAAACTACTCTGAGCCTCCCAGGACCTTTCCTCGTGGAGTTATGAATTTTTCAAATTAATTTTTGTCTCTACAGACTTTTTCTCAATCGGACAGAACGCTAAAAGTTTTGTCGTATAGATCAAAGTGTTTTCGTCCAAAACAGACGGCGCTCAACCTTTCAGCTCCAGTTTTCTCCCGAAAAATACCGTTTATCCGGTACCTTCTGTATATATGCGCAGAATACGAAATACGAGTGATCAAAATTGTCTGGCATTGCAAGTATATTTCTCTAAAGTGAGATGAAAATTTCACACTATATGCCAGAAATTAAATTAACCCTCCATCGTTTTCAATTTGTCCTTTTCGAAATGCAACAATGCCAAATTCCATAACCGATTTTTAACCAGGAGCAAATGTTATTTTATTGTTACGTTTGATACGAACAAGATTCTGTGGAAAAATTTTCGCTCTGTAAAATTGTTTATGCATCTGTGGTAAATCGGCCCCACAGAATTTAAGAGATCGCGGCGTGGGACGGTGAGTACTCGGGTTTTTTCGAGAAAACTCCTCAAGAACACGATCAAAAGGAAAAATTCCGAAAGGGCCTAGAGATATGAGAGACCATCAACTGAAAAAATTTTTCATCTCCACGACTTCCCTGTTCAGTATACCGCAATGAACAAAAAAGATGTGACGGTTATTCTTAATAACTTTTTGATATTTTTTTCTGATTAAATTCGCTTGTTTTCCAGTTCTATCTGGTTCCTGTCCTTACTATTTACGCATAAGAGATCTTCAAAAACTACACAAGCAGCATTTCTGACCTTTTTTAACACTTTCATAATGTCTTTTGTGTAGTACTCACGAAGTTTTTGACTAACACCTTGGATGACTTCAACTGAAGGAAAAAAGAACAGAACGGGAAAGGAAAAGTGAAACATTTACATTTAACACACATTACACATTACATCTCAAGAATAACGGATTGATCGTGCGTACACTGCATGCTTTA